CTGTGATAAGTACAAAACCAATAAAAGCCGCCCTTAGAGTGCTAAGCAGCAAGAGATAGTCCACCGTCAGGTGATTGTGTTGACAGAGGCAACGCCGTCCTTGGAAATGGTCGAGCCGCTCGCAGAAACCTGAGGGCTGTTCGCAGCAGCAGCAACAGCAGTAGCAATGCCCTGGTCGTCATGCGAGACCACAGCAGCCGCTTGCTTTTTGCTCTCGGCCGCCGCAACCGCCCCCTGAGAACCATTAGAGCCATCCTTACTCACCTCCTTCCTCCCAGCGACCACCACGCCCGCGGCGTCAGCGCACAGGCGCGCTATGCTCGGCGGCGCCAGGATCCTCATGACGGGCACGTCCTACCCCGCGGCCTTGTAGGTCCACACCCGAATCTCGACGGCCATGAGCGAGTCGACGCCCAGGTCCGAGGCGCTGCAGCCCAGGAGCGGGGCCGCCGCTCCGCTCTCCGGCAGCTACAGCATGGAGATATCGGCCCGTGGGCAGTGCTTCCTCCTGTTCGAGTCGCTTCCCGTAGTATTGAAGGATGGAGTAGGGGGGAATGCGAGTCGGATGTTGTAGCGACAGAATGTGACAGAATGTGGCGACAGAAATCCCACTGCAAAGCTTGGCCAAAAAAAAATAGTCATCAATGCATACGCGGTAATGCTGTCGAGTTCGTCGACTTCGGCGCCCCTTCGCTATGCGGACCGTGGCTGTTGGTGCTAGCAAGGGTTGGGTCAATTGGTAACTACACCTTCTGGGAGCAAGGAGGCCGCCGGCAAGTCTGGTGGCGAGCAGCCCGACACGGCCGAGCTTGTGGGGCACTTCCGGGATGCGTCGCGCGACTACCGTGCCCAGCGGAAACCACCCGGACGCGTTGCCGACCGTGCCGGCGTCAATTTTGTAAGGGAGAAGATGGGCCTGGACCAGGACGTGCCCGGCGGGAGTGCGGGAGAGGGAGAGACCTCTGCGCTGATTGAGCGACCGAATACTCCGGCGGCCTAGGATACCTGCCGGGGCCGGAAGCGGACAGAGAGTACTACATCCCTTTTTTCCTTTAAAGGCCCTATATTTAACGATACAATATATTGACCATCTGCATTTGCGCCTTTACAGCGCTACGGCTTCCGAGTCCTCCGAGCCCGAGCCCTCGGCGTCAACCTCAAAGTCTGAGCTACAATCCAAGTCTGCCTGACGATCGATTATGGGTATCATCTTCCGCCGCCGACTCCTCCCAATCCACAGCTACCTGTTCGACCTCCGCAATGGATCTGTCTACACGGGCACCACCTTCGTGCCCCCGCCGGCGGACCCCAGGATGCATGTGCTGCGCTGGATCAGATTCGTTATCCCCTGCTCAGGGGCGTTTTCGTTAATATGAAAGACATAAGAGCTACCCATTTTAGCACCGTACAGACCGCCGAGCGAGGAGGACGATGACGGGGTAAGGGTGGCGGTAGCTGCCGAGCGGGAGGCGCAGCTGGAGACCCTGCCCTTGAGGGCGGCATCGAGCGAGAAGGGGGCAGCGCCACCCGGGCCAAAGGCGGGAGAGTTTACGCGGCTAAGGGGCTGGCTGTCCGGCAGCGGTTTTTGGAGAGGATACGATGCGCTTGCTGCCACAGGTGGGGGAGCGGCCCGCGGGGGCTAATAGAGGCGGCGCGGTGGTGAGGGAGGCATTGATTTCGGCGACGGGCGATTTGGGCTGTAAGATGGCCCTGGTCCTGGTGGCAGGAAAGAAGTTGTGGGCGCCCTTGGCTTTTTTTTTTTAGAGAAGATGGTGGATCGACGTTTCCCCAGTTAATCGAATCCGCCTTTTACTTGCCACTGGTCGGAGTGAAGACTATTTTGAAGACCTAATTAGCACGAAACGATCCTCCCAGAGTCGATGAATACGGCAATGGTTACATCTGCAGACCCGTTGTTCTGCTTGTTGGAGATGCGACGGAGAAAGGGGACGGGCTGGCGTTTGGTGGTGGTGGCAACGCTGTCCGTGCGGCGGCGGTGGTGATCCGGTCGGGGGTGTGGTCGAGGGAGGAGGGCGCGGGTTCCACGAAAACGTCGGCGGCGTCGCGTGTTCGGTAGCTTTTTAGCCGCCGGTAGGGGCGGGCGCACGGCGTTTTGCGGCCGCGCGACGCCGCTCGGCTCGGACCGTGTTGTGGCGGGCGAAGAAGTCCAGGACGGTTTTGTGCTCGGGGCTGTCGGTCACGCGGGCGGCGGAGAGCAGGTCGAGGAACTTGTATCCATTAGACAAGGACGAAGTAACGAGCCGCGGGCTGAACGTCGGACCTTAAAGCTTTTGCGGATGAGGTGCTTGATGGGGTTGACCGGGCCGTCGCCCCGCGTCTTCTCGTTTGGGAGTAGGACGCGGGACCTGCCGCAGCAACGCCCTATATGATGCGAAGCTTGGCGGAGGGAGGGAAAATCCAACGGACGTTAATCAACTAGGTAGGTAAATGCCTCGGCCGCACTGATGGCGAGGTGCTCGAGGTTCTGCAAAATGCCGACGAGGTTGCGTATGGACTTATGGGATACGTGCACCGCTCCCGATGCGACCAGGCGCAGTCGCCGGATGTAAATAAGGCCAGGGCTCCCGATGGGGGGTGGAGGCGGGTCGACGAACGTGCCGCGGTAAGCATTCGTAACGCAGAGCGACGTAATCTGCGACAACGGCATGGCGTAAAGCCTTGGACCAGGCTGCCGAGAAGGAAATCGACGCGGGGAGCTATGTTTCGTTGGGGACCGTCGGCCAGTTCGAGAGTTGGGCTGGTGTCCGCCGGAAAGACGAGGGACTTGACGCGAGGCAGCTTTGCCAGCAGGCGGCCGAGCACGTACAGGCGACGGCGGCATCTTGACGACGAGGCGAGTGGTGCCGATAATGGCAGCCAGGTCTGGCCTGTTGCTAATGACGTCCTCCAGACCCCGCAGGGATTTGTCGCTTGTGCAGATCTCGAGGTTGCCAAAGGCGATCGGCATGGCCATCTCGCACCGGGTACGATTCACGACACGCAGTGCCAAGGTGTCGCGGGAGTCGTGGCGGGCCACGAGGTTGACGATCTCGATTCTGATCTCGGATGCCTGAACTCCCTTTTTTGAACCGTATTGTCCAACCTCCCGAGGGAAGGTGCCTGCCTCTTGGGCCGTCTTGTGCGCCTCTAAGCGGGAGGCGTGCCGAGCCACCGAACGGACTCTATCTTCACCGCGATCGATGGGAAACTCGTCGGAGGGGGGG